AGCCATATTTCGAAACCTTTTGACGAAGGCTTTGACTGATTCCCTCTTCTTCTGCTTAGTAGAGAGAAGGGTATGGATGGAGACTTCTGTATCCTCTTCAAAGAATCTTGACAGGAAGAGTCTCTCTAAATCCGCCTACTTTTGGATACAGCCCGCAGGCAGTTTCCTGAACCATTCAAAGGCAATTCCCTTGAGGGTGCCAATGAACAATCAAGCCAGTATGGCATCGTTTGATATTATATTTCCAGTCTGTGACTTGAAATGATAAATATGTTGGTTCGGTGATCCCGTGCCGTCAAAAGTTTGTAGCGTCGGGACCTCGAACTTTGGAGGATAAGGGGCTGCATCCCATTCGGCAGGATAGGGTCTGATAACTCCCTCATCTTGGAGCTCGCTTCTGTTAGTAATGGCTTTGAGGTGGGCTTCCAATTCTTCCATTTTGGCAGACTGAAGATTCTGCTCGTTCTCAGTCTCTCTTCCTTCACCAGAGGAAGATTCCAGGCTGTGGGCTTCTTGGTCAGAAGCCGCATCATCAACCACTTTTCCCTTCCCTCGGGATGTCGGGATGAAGATGCTTTTCCTCTCCGGGAAGATTCTTGCCTAAGCGGCGAATCTGTCTCTTGAGATTTGGCCTTGTCTGCGACGATTTGAGTCAACATGGCCATGAGTTCATTGATGGCCTCCTGCTGAGATCTGAGCATGGCCTCCTGTTCATCAACTCTCTTTGAAAGATTTTCAGAATGTTCTGTCATGTGGGCGAAGCTCTCATGCCCAACGAAAGAGCTTGATGATTGGGACTCCGCAATGGCTGAGTGTTCGTCATCAGAATTAGTTCCTCTGGCTAAACTCCGATAGTTGATAGGGGGAATGGCTCATGTTCGAGTCCTAGTACGTTGGTAGATTCCTTCAAACTCGTTAGTGATTTCTCTGACACTTGGAGAATGATCTGTCTCTGACTCGTCAGAACTAAAGGTTGATGATCTCCCTCTACCAACCATGTTAGAAGTGACTCCAAGGTATTCATCCTCTAGAGTCTTCTTCCTATGAGGATGTCGTCGATTATTGAGCAAAACGGCATTCGTCGGTTGGTTGAACATCGACAGCAATTCCCGCCAGTCAGAGACTTGGGATGAACCTCTCACGGAGCGTGAGGGTAAAGATGGAACCCCCTGTCCATTAAAGGATGTGACTGATTTTTGGAAAACATGAATTTTAAATCCATGTTGATCATTTTGAACACGACGAATCACATCGTGTTCCAGAGAAGTTACACGAGGGTCGTGTTTAGCTTGATTAACGCAAGACCAAAGTCTGCGTTTTGCTAACGAAACACAGTTCTGCGATCTGCGTTCGGATTCTGAAACGCACTCCTGAGAGTTGCGTTCAGTTTGTGAAACGCACTCCTGAGAGTTGCGTTCAGTTTGTGAAACGCACTCCTGAGAGTTGCGTTTTGGTTCTGGGACGCACTCTTGAGAGTTGCGTTCAGCCAGATCAACGCAGGTTTGATGTCTGCGTTTAAATATTAGAACGCACTCCTGAGAGTTGCATTTTGGTTCTGAAACGCACTCCTGAGAGTTGCGTTCTGCCAAATCAACGCAGTTTTGAGGTCTGCGTTTTGATGTTAGAACGCGCCTCTGAATGCTGTGTTCTATCTGGGAAACACACACCTAAGGGTTGCGTTTAGCTTGGCTTATGCAGAGCTCATGTTGAGGCTCACAAACGCGGAGTTCGCGTTGATTGGAGGATCGGCTTTTTTGGCGTTGTGCCGAAGTCGAGTCTTCTCCTTTAGAGAGGGGACTGTATGAACAGTGCAACCCCCATGGGAGATAGTCTTTAGATGAGTTGGCTACAACTGGAGCTTTAGTCTCCTCGGAAACTTTGTGGATCTTGCGCATAGCCTTGGGGCTAAGGGATCCGGAGGAGATGGCCTCCTCATACTTGGCTTGATTAAACTCGATAATCAGAGTTTCAACGGTCATTCCAGTGAGATGAACGTCGGATTGCACCACCACTTCTTTGTCAGAGAAGCTAGTCCCCAGCGGAGTCGCCATCTTTTGTTTGTTGGAAATTTGCAGTAAAAAGACAGTGAAAGAAAATTTGACTTGTATTCCTCTCAAAATCAATTACAATTTGGATTCCGATTACAAAAGAGAGGAGAATGAATTTGATTCTCCCCTTTGTTTAATTCTGGGTTCTTCACGGTGGCGATGAGATGCCTCCCTCGAATGCTCGCGTCGAGTTTGCTTCTCGTTGACGATCCGAACGTCTTGATTCACTGGAACGATGTCTTCTCCTCACGATTTGACGCTGTGGAGAACTTGCGTGGCAAGTTTGAAAATAACTCTTAACGAGTTGATTACTTTGAACGAGTTTTAGAAGAACTTGCAGAGCAAGTTTTGAACTCTGATCGAGTTGATAACTCTGAACGAGTTTGAACTCTTGAAAAAGAGTTGATTTGAACCGAAAGTCGGTTATAAGCCAAGGTTGAATAAGCTCTTGTTGCAGATCTCCCGAGCTCCAGAAAATGCTCTAAAGATCTCCTCTGGTGCTGCCAAGTCCCAGATCCAAAATATGCCAGCCTTTTGACCGAATCTCCCTTTGTTGATGAGAAAAAATTCGATCCCTCAACTCAATTGAGTTTCTGATATTTATAGGGGATTAAGGGTGGTAACTATCCTCTTAATCCGCTCTTAAGTGGGGCAAAAATCGCTCAAATTGTGGGGGAAAAACAGTTCCTGGAACTGTTCGTTGCGTGCTTTGAACGAGTCAAACGCTGAAAAATAGCGTTCAGGGCCCGAACTCTGCGTTTTTAGACTAAAAACGCAGAGTTGGGCCTATTTTGGTGGCTGAACGCACAGGCCGCGCAGCGTGATGAACTCTGAGACGCAGAGTTGGGATGTTTTAGGCTGAAAACGCACGGGTCGCACTGTGCATAGATGAACTGTGCGTTTTTGTTGTTGGACGCAGAGTTAGGTTTTGCATTAACTGTGCGTCTCTGGACTTGGGACGCAGAGTTGAACTCTACATTAACTGTGTGTCTCTGGATCTGGGACGCAGAGTTGAACTCTACATTAACTGTGCGTCTCTGGATCTGGGACGCAGAGTTATGCTGTGCATTTTTGTTGTTGGACGCAGAGTTAAACTCTGCGTTTTAAGTCCACAACCTCTGCGTTTTGTGGTTATAACGCTGGTTCCACCTGTGCGTTTTGACTCTATAATGCAGAAGCGAACCTTAGGCGGGCTTGGCGAGCTTCGAGCTAAGTCCAATGTTCTGACGAAGTCTGGTCTTGCAGACGGACTTCAGAACATAATCTGCTACGAAGAACAGGTCATAACTTTCAAACCGTAAGTCGGAATTAGACGAATTATATATGAAAATTGGCTATCTCGACGAGGCGGATCCATCCGAGCTAAGCCAAAGGCTTCGGTTCGCTTTCTCCATTTTGCCAAGTTCCTTACGGTTTGAGAGATATATGCGTTTTAATATGAAGAGACCGTCAATTTGTAGTCTCTTTTGCTAGAGCGTTGCAAAGATCGTCACCTTGTAACCTTCGTCTTGGCTCTTTAAAAATATGAGAGTTGTCAGATTGTAACTCCCGATGTTGATTGTGAATGCTGTTGAATTAGAGCTTTCTTCAGTTGTCGTGAAGGTCGTCAGATTGTAGCCTTCTACGTGAAAGTTCTCAAATTGTAGCCTTCTGGAAGTCGTCAGATTGTAACTTCCATCATCGGTGTTTGATGGGGGATCAACTATCTATTGTGATTTTTAGACAGCCTACACTTATGTAAAAAGAAGATTCAGAGCTTTTTTCAGGAAGTAGCAGAAAAGAATTCTCCCTCTTTTTATCTTGTTTCCCTCCTTTTATAGCCCATCGCCTCTGGGAGTTTGACCCTTCGGCTTTGACTATACACAGGAGGCGGTTGAGGGGTGACCTGGAGGCTGAGTCATCTTCCTCCTTCCAAGTGTCAGCTGGCGATTGGAAGGAAAGTCATTCGAATATAGGAGAGAGGTGTCCTCTCAGTATCCGAGATTTGACAGATGAGGCAGGGCAAATGATAGGCTGTTCGGTTGTGCTTTCCTCTCCAGATGGAGGTTGGTGATTGGAGGGGAAGTCATTCGAGCCCAGAAAAGCATCATGGCGATCCCAGAGAAGTGACTTGTGAGTAGAATAAGCGGCTTGTGCAGGGGATTTGTCAGAGCAGGGATCTTGATGAGACTGATCAGTGCTGTTGCGTTGATTGACATCTGAGGTGAACTTAGCTGGATCTTATCCCCTTAGTAGAGGCGAGTCGGTTCATGAGTTGTCTTTGTGATTTCCCGACTCGACAGCCGAGTGAGACTCGGGTCGAGTGTATAGTCGAGACATCTGCTTGAGGAGTCGTCTTGATTACGAGGGACCGACTGGTCCTGCACTTCGAGTCGGTAATAAAATGACCCTTGGTCAAAAGTGACTCGTCTGCTTGACTGGCCGATAGACTTGCTCTTGGCTGGGCTTTTGTGCCTCTAAGCTGGTTTGGACCATGGATTTTTTAGCCCATGCATACAATCTTTCGATATTTTCATCTTTAGATAGTAAATTACCATAACACCTTCATTAAATGCAGCATGATTTTTGATGACATTCGTTAGGCCGTACTGATATTTGAGACGCCTTGTGTCGGGTTCGAGTGGAGAGGGCCTTTTGTCTTGGAGTCGGACATCCAGCGGGATTTAGGTCGAAAATGCCTTTAGTCTTGGATCTGGATTGCGAGACGAGTCATCCAGCTTAACGTCCGGGTTGCGCTTGCGGATACTTTGGGAGTCGGCTAGTTAGTTATCACGCGACCGTTCTTATTGGTCTTGGTAATTTTCAAGGTACAATAAATAGCAATTAAGAAGAAGAACGTTAAAATTTACATGGTTTCGGTCGACCAATTTCGACCTACATCCACATGACAACAATGCGAGATATTACTATGCATTAAGGAGAACATTATCAGAGGGATCACTCATTTCTCTCAATCTTTTCAACCTCGCCGGCAGAAACAACATCAAATAGCTCAAAACAGATGAGTGATGCAATTTACCCGAGAGTTCCAACAACCAAATTGTTCAGAACAGAGGAATTTCATTTAAAACACAACATGCATATATGCAAACATCTCCAAATTCAAACGTCGCACGTATATATATATGTGCAACAGCTTCATCCTCAAACCGTCCTTCAAGCTAATTTTCCTGAAACCGACCCCACCCTTCGTCGACCATCCACCCTAACTTTGGCCGAAACAGCATTCCTTCCGGCTACCCCTGTCGTCGCAGCCACAACCCTACGCTTGCCGCCATATCCTTCAAATCCTTCACACCCCTCAAGAACTTCAACAACCTGCGGCATCTTCGGCCTGTCCTTCGGCGTTGGGCTTATACACTGCAACGCTAACGTCGCGGTGACGCGTGCGCCCCTAACGGAGTACTGGCCTGCGAGTCTTGGGTCGATGATGTAGGCGGAGTCGGCGGCTGCTGGCTAGGGCTTGGCAAAGTCGACGAGCTTTTGTTCGGGCTTTGGTTTGGACCTGTCCATGGATCGACGGCCTGTTAGGAGCTCGAGGAGGACTACGCCGTAGCTGTAGACGTCGCTCTTGGTTGTTAGATGACCTGAAATTTTAAACGTCATTGTAATTTTAAACGTCATTGAAATTTTAAACGTCCATGGGTCATTTGTTTTCGGTTATTGCACAAAGCAGATAGATCCTGATCTATGTGCCAATAAAAAAAAAATAAAAAAATAAAAAAATAAAACGGGATGCTGCATTGGATCCATGTATAATTCACCCTTCCTTTAGTTGCTATTTTGACTCTTAAGTCTATCGATGTAAACAACTGCAATTGAAAAAAAAAAAAAAACATTACAGTCACAGTAGAACAAGACACCAAATTTCATCTGTAACTATTTTTTTTTTAAACTGCAAAAGACAATTATAATTTTAATTTTTCACAAGCCAAACAGCTTTGCAGGATTCGTTGAATTATTCATGAATTTACTCAATTCTGTCAAAAATGGCCCTCTATTCACCGAATACATTCTCTAATATCACGTAACTCTCACAAAAGTTCCATCTTAATTCTATAATCTATTCTATGGTTCACTTGTTGTTGTATTGTAATCATGTTCTATATCAAAATTGGTACATAATTATAGGCCGCATTATTATTTTTTATCAAGGTACAAAAATTATGGAGTTTTATTTGTACCTGTCATAACATATTCTGGCGCTGCATACCCATGAGTCCCCATAACTCTAGTAGTAACATGAGTCTCTTCACCCTCAGGCCCCATTTTCGCAAGCCCAAAATCCGATAATTTCGCGGTGAAATCCTGTTACACACGCAAAACAACATAAAAATAATCAAAACAATTCATAGATAACCAATCATTTGAATCATTCAAGTGTTACACTATACTGACAGAGTCTAGCAAGATGTTGGATGCTTTGAAATCGCGATAAATGACAGGTTTCTCTGCTCCGTGCAGAAATGCAAGTCCTTTTGCTGCTCCAATTGCAATCTTCAGCCTTGTTCCCCATGACAGAGTTATCGACATCCCTATTAACAAATAGTTATCATTATGAGAAGTATAATTTCACGTATATACTATGACGTTTTAGTAGAGTTTAGAACTATAGTGTAGGATTGCTTTACTCTTGAAAAGATGGTTCTCTAGGCTGCCTCGAGGCATGAATTCATAGACGAGGAGGCGCTCTTCGTCTTCGCAGCAGTACCCAATAAGTTTCACTAAGTGCGGATGCCTTAGCTGACCCAGAAATATTACCTCTGCCTGCGAATAAACTCGTCTCAGTTTCTTCCAGGGTTCTATCCAAAACATAGTAACTTTTCTAAGCAAGAAGATTATGTATCATGTGCACATTGCGAATTATTCATTCGTTTACGTATAATTTTTTCGATCAATTATAGTAGGACAATAGTTCATGTTACTTTTTAGTGCAGTATGGATCACATTGTGTTTGCATTGGATCCGAATTATTTTCCAAACTCTATCGCCAATTATGCATATGACACCCTTGTAGATTTAGAGCTAAGTTCCAGAGATACATACTTCTCATTTACTTTTTCTGATCAAACTGTTTTATTCATTTTGACTAGGTTGCTTTACACTTTCTAATGAATGCGAGACACATATTTAATAATGCCTATCATATATTTCAGTCTTAAAAAAAATTGTAGGCTACATATAGACCCACAAACTTTGGATACTCAGTTAACTAATACTATTACCTGCAACATTATCTTAGTTCCCTAGGTCCATCCACTTCATTGACCTAGAAACAAGCTACGCTAATCTAAATGAATAGAAAATCAGGGTAAGTTGCAGATAACTTCTTCGTTAGTACCTTCAGTTGCACTAATCACCTCTCATGTTTGTATATTAGCACTTATCATCTTTTGTTTAATATTTTGAAAAAGAAAAATGACATATGATCCCCTCTTACAGTAGACTATATAAGTAATGACAAATTATAATTTACCTTACATTCTTTAAGGAAAATTTACCACTGAAATTAAGCACCAAAAAAGAAAAGAAAAAAAAGAAAAAAAAGAAAGAACAAATGTTATCAGAACACCCACAGAGAGAATGTTGTTTTAAGTCGTATATAAGAGACTAAAGAGACAATTTAAAAATTTTAACTGTTTTTCTCATGACTATGGAGGTAGTATCCCTTGACATATGATTTAACAAGAGAGGTGATTCCTTAGATCAGTACTGTGTACAGATTCAAGGGTCCTCTTTCTTTTGGCCCACTGTGCTACCCCCGAAAAAAAAGCACGCGCACAAAATGTTTTGATAAGATTTGTATTTAAAAAAGAAAAGACAGAAAACTACACTCACCAGCCACTCCCTGTGCCCCTGCAGCCCCTCAACATCCAAAATCTTGACGGCAACAGCCTGCGCTTTAAGGCCAGGCCTCAACTTATCATCAACATACCCTTTATGCACAGTCCCAAACCCTCCCTCACCAAGCAAGTAATCACTGCAAAAACCTTGAGTTATCGCACTCAGCTCTCCCACCGTGAATGCAAACAACCCAGCCCCAAAAGAGTTCACAAAGTCATCAGTGTTGAATCGAACAGACGAGGAGCTGCTGAGATCGGAGAAGGAGAGTCGACGAAAAGATGAGGCTTCAGATACTTTCTTGGAGAATTCGGAGCGAGTTGGGCGGCATCGGGTGAGGTTGTTGAGTGCGATGGGGGTGCCTTTGACGGTGCAGCAGTGGGCGGCGGTGATAGGTCGCCATGGTCGACGGGGAAGCTTCATGTCTGCTGAGGTTGAGAGAGGAATTAATGAAGAGGTTGAGGGTGGTGAAGGAGAGAATTATAATGTGCAATGGTTGCATTTTCCCAACTGCTCTCTCTCTCAACTGCTCTACTAGCTAGTGTGTGTATTTTATGAGTTTCTTTTTGTATAGTGGTAACTTGCTTATGTGAGATTATGGAATTCATCTTGTCAGTATCTAGGGACATTTTTGTGATGCAGTCGGTGGTCGATAAAGAACTTAGTCATGAAATAGACATGGGTCAAGGTGCTGATCACCGAGATTGGGTGCAAAATGAATATAGATGCTGGAAAGAGTTTTCAATTTGTGCATATCTTAACAAAAAGTTGAAATCTTGAAAAGACGTTAGAAAGCACCAACACTCTGAAGTTGTACTCATGAGCACTGTGGGCTATAATCTTAAATGATCTAACATGCATTCACATGGTGAGACCTCTTTCATGGATTGAAATTTGCACTTACAAACCTTGGTAGTATGTCTAAGGTTTTTGTGCACTGATCTTTTGAATTGTTATGAGAATTGAGGGTTATAAGATGATTCACTTGAATTTAGATCATCTTCATTGTTAATAGATAATAATACAAATTTTGATATTCCAAATGGAATTGTTTGTATGAGAAAGACAGTTCCATGTTTGACTGGTTGTAAGTATTGTTTTCTACGCTTCATGTGTGAAATTTAGAAGTGCAACTGGTTCGAATGCGGCTCGGATATGATATTTATCATATTCATATCCACTTACCGTTCACGGATATGGATATAGATACATATATGCCTCGGTAAGAAAAACACATATCATTATCCATTAAAATCAGATATGGATACATATATACGTAGGGATACAAAACAGATATGAGAAGACCAAATCATATCAAAAAATATATAGTTTCATATGTTACAAGAGAGTTCATTAATATGTTTGTTATATCTGAAAGTTTAAGATTAGCTTTTCCAATCATCAAAATTAGTCTCAAATTCATTTATCCAAAGATTGAAACAAAATTACAACTGTGTGATCAATATATATTTGAATATTTCGGATATGAATCCGGATATTGCACTTCATAACATATTTGCTACCATATCCTATCGATTGTAGATTTGAGTAACTATATTGTTTGGTGGGAAAATTAAAAGATAAAAATCGACTATCTCGACGAGACGAAGCTAACCAAGCTAACCCAAAGGGTTTGGTTTGTTCCCGTCTGTTTTGCCAAATTCCTTACGGTTTGAGAGATATCTGCGTTTTGATTTGAAGAGACCATCAATTTGTAGTCTCTTTTGTTAGAACGTTGCAAAGATCGTCTTCTTGTAACCTTCGTCTTGGCTCCTTGAAAATATGAGAGTCGTCAGATTGTAACTCCCGATGTTGATTTTGAAGGCTGTTGAATTAGAGTTTTCATCGGTTGTTGTGAAAGATCTACGTAAAAATTTTTAAATTGTATCCTTCTGGAAGCCGTCAAATTATAACTTCCATCATCGGTGTTTGATGAGGATCAGCTATCTGCAGTAATTTTTAGACAACCTACATATATCTATATCCTAAAGAATATGGTTGCAGATACAGATATGGTTTTGCACCCCTAGTCAATTTGATATGTAGAGGATGTTATCGTTCATTTGTAAGTAATTATTGTCAGAGATTTGATATGATAAATCTAAAACTGTGTGCTAAAACTCTTCATTTTTCATATTCTCCCAATTTTAGGGACTTAGGTTGAGAATTTTTAGGGGTGTTTGTTTTCATGAATTTTACAACTTTACATTAAAAAGAGGGACTCACAAGCCAATCATCATGGATTTTTAGCAAATACATTGTTTGCTTGTCATTTTTTTATACACAGATTTGGGGTTGTCACATAGGATAAATATAATTCCCTAAAATTTTGCTGATTTTTAACCTGACTTGTGATTTAGTCACATATATTCTCAATGAAATTCACGTACAACCAAACAAAATTTAACTGCCTTTTATTCCTCGTGCAAATCCTCTTTAGTATCCATCACAAACAAGCACAGTTTTAGTTATGGGTTTTTCAAAATCCATTACATGCATCAATACTAATCCACAAACGAAATAGCCCTTGGGGCCTGTTTGTTTGCAAAGAAATAATTATGAAGTAGCTGAAGTAAAAGAAGTAGATACTACTTCTGCTACTTCCAAAAAAAAAAAAAGTGTGTTTGATTCTTTGAAAAACTTACTTCCAATACTTCCTTAAACACTTATGTAGCGTCTACGTGTTATCTTTACTTTCAAAATATTTTTTCAATCCTCAATACTCAGAAGTGGCTCGGAAGTAGTTGAAATGCATATTAATTAGGAAATAAATATTTTTATTAATATTTCCTTTATTAGTTACTTTAAACAACTTTTCATTGATAAAATTGCTCTTAATTTTAACAATTATTTTGTAGTAATTTATGATGATCGTCGGCCAGCTTTTCTTTGGGATGAAGAGAACATTTTGTCTATTAATTCTTTGTCTAAATATCACGTTGATGTTACGATCAAAGGAGCAAGGGATGAGGGAAATTGGAAATTCATAGAAATTTATGGTCATCTAGAGTCTCATCGTAGGCGAGAGGTAAACAATTATTTTGAAGCTATGTGGTTGAATGATTCTTCTTGCTCTCAAATGGCGAGGGGTCATAGTGGCATGAAACTGGTTGTAACGTGCTAGATCAAATTAAAGAGCGTGACGTGACTTTAAAATTGTGGAAGCAACATGTGTTAATTATTTCCTAGTAATGTTTTCAAATGTTATCCAAACAAAAAAAATTAATGAAGAGGAAGAAGTTTTACTTCCATTACTTCTAAAAATATATGAATCAAACAAATTTTTTTTTATTCCCACTAATTCCTACTTCATAGTTTTGAAAGTTACTTCTGTAACCTACTTCTTACTTCCAATACTTCAATTATCCAAACGGGCCCTTGGAGTAGGTATTTTGTGGGGTCCATGGAGGATAAGTACCTCTGCCTTTTGCTTAAGGTTGCCTTTGACAAAGAATTAGGCGCGGTTGAATTTTAATGTACCGTGACGTAGTACTGTAGGACCATCATCCATTTAATTGAAATCTTTTGAACAATGGTGATTGCCTCACTGGTGCATATATTGAATTTGAGGTGCTCGCAAGTACACGAAAGAAGGAATTTATTATGATTAGGTTCACAGGCATAAACTATCATATCCCTTCATAATAAACCCAAATTCAAGTTGAGGATTTGGATACATAAGACAATACTCGCGAGTGGAGCACGTATGTCATTCATTTGCTACTCCACTAAAAAGAGGGTTAATCTTCAATTGGGTGTTGTTCATCAATAGCCTGCCCATGTCTTTATGATAAATAATAGCGAGTAATTCTCTTTGGGCTTCACTATAATACCTCGGCATGTGTGTATAAGGTTGTGTTTAGCAAACTGGATTATGACTTAAGGTTGTGTTTAGCAAACTGGACTAGAACTGAACCTGACTCAGTTTTATGTTTGTTTTTTAATTGGCACAACTGAGCCAGTTCTGACCCGGTTTTTCTTAAGCCGAAAATAAGACTTAAACCGGTTTTTTTTTTTCCCGAACCGCCCCTCGCTAGGTTCAAAAAACTGGATCAGTTTACTGACTCAATTTTGAGGGTTTTGCCAAACACATCCTAACTCTTACATGTGAGCCTAACCTTCACATCAAGAATTTGCATGCTAATTAATGTGAGGTTTCTCAACTTATTCCTTGTGAAAATAAAATTTAGAATGTTATTCTATTGAGATGAAATACAAGATCCGGTTATAAAGATCGAGAGATCGTGAGCTGAAAGGCATTTGGACAATGCCAATAACGTGATACCCATGAATCTTTATTAAAGAAGAAAAAAAGAAAATTTAAAATAAATTTTATTAATGAAGATTTGCTCGCGAAACAATAATCCCTCTAAATATATTCCAAAAACTCACTAGAATGGGCCAAGCCTTGGGCCGCCTCATAATGGGTTACAAGCCTCAACGCCTAGTTTTAGCCCATCTTTTCACCGACTCGCTTTACACGGACGATTGACGCGTTTCGAGAAAAAGTTCGCGGGATCCGAAGTATCCTGACCGAAATCTGGGCCCCCGGAAGTCCGAGATCCAAACAGCGAAATCAAGAAGGCATTCTCAACCTCGCACCCCCTCTCTCCTACGTGTCACTTCCTCATTCGTCCATTCCCTTCTCTCTCTCCTCCCTCGGGATGTCGTCGCTGGCGGTGTCGTCGTCGCTCCGCGCTCGAGTCCGGTCGCCGCCTCCTCTCCTCTCCCCCTCTCACCGCTTTCTCTCCTCTCTCGAGTCCGATCACCGCCCCCTCTCCATCTCGATCGCTTCCAAAACCCTAACCCCCTCCCTCCTCCTCCGCCGCCTCCCTCCCCCCTCCGCTTCCCGCCTCCGAGAATGTAAGCGCACCGCTCTCCCCGCTTACTTCTATGAAAACAAAAATCTAACCGCCAATGTACTTAGGGTTTTGATTCAAACTACTCGCAATGGGATTCGATCACCGCCAAGTTCGCCGCCGCTGCAAATGTGCCTTTCCTCCTCCTTCAACTACCTCAGATTGTACTCAACGCTCAGAATCTCCTCTCCAGCAACAAGGCCGCTCTCTTCGCCGTCCCCTGGCTCGTGAGCAAACCCTAATTCCTTAATTTCCTCACAAATTTCCGTCTTTGTTACTTTCTGTTTAAGTTATGAGCAATGCTGCAGGGGATGTTGACTGGATTGCTCGGAAACTTATCTCTTTTATCTTATTTCGCGAAGAAGAAGGAGACAGAGGCGGTCGTGGTACAAACCCTGGGAGTGATCTCGACTTACGTGGTGATCGCACAGCTGGCGATGGCGGAATCGATGCCGCTGCCTCATTTTGCTGTGACCTCGGCGGTTGTAATCTCGGGCCTGTTCTTGAACTTCTTGAATTACTTCGGGTGGTTGAGCGAAGGGGTTTGGAGGGCTTGGGAGGATTTTATCACTATTGGGGGACTCTCTGTTCTTCCTCAGGTAAAGCAGATTGAATTGACAACAGATTTGGGTTTTTGATTTGGATAGTTCGTTTCTAATTGGTCTTTTTTTGGTTGCAGGTGATGTGGTCGACATTTGTTCCCTTTGTACCGAGTAGCATATTGCCAGGGATGATTGCTGGTATTGTGGCGGTTGCAGCTGTCTTTATGGTATGTTCTACCTTTTTAATTGTTTTGTCTTAGATTCTGCTGGTTGTGTAGCAAGGAGCATTGCGAAGTTGTAGTTTGTTAATGTTGTAAGCTATTTGAACTAAGTCAGCTTCTTAATTGCTCTATCTGCTAATAAAAACATAATAAATGGTTAAGCCCCTATCCATAATAAATGGTTAATCCCTCAGGTCCTCTGGTGTTGTTTACTGTATGTTGATGTCTTACCGATAAATCATCTGGTTGAGGGATTATTTGAAGTTCTCTAAAAAGTTTTAAAAAATTGCAAATTATCGTGAGTGATTTCTTGCATTTACAATATAAGCATTTGTTTTTATGCCAATAGTTCTTCTGGCAGTTCTTTTTTATTTCTGTATGAACTTTTTTAGATTTGTTACAGAGTGAAGTTGAGGTATCTTGATTTGTTGAATATCAGCATGGGCTGATGAGAACTTCCTATAGAGAGGGGCTTGAGGAAAAGATATATGTCTAGTCTCCCACATTTCCATTTTTGGCAGGGAACTCTATCAAGTTTATAGCGGATTTGTTGACATATTGTTATTTCGGAATATTCTATTTTTCTAAGTTCAATTTTTCTTATCTCCTTTTGTTTGCATAGTCTTTTGTCATGTGAGTGAGAAGTGAGAAAAATCTAGTACATGATTGAAGATCGTTATTACTATCTGATTATGGTTCCTTCATCTTCTTTTTCTACTGCAAAAGATTTTAGTTTATGGCCACACCTTGATTCTGTGGTAACTAAGACATGCAGGCACGAGCAGGGAAGCTTTCTGAGCAAGGAACAAAGCTTGTTCAGTCAACATCTGGATGGACTGCCACTTTACTTTTCATGTGGATGCCTGTTGCTCAGATGGTATGCCACAAATTTAGATGTTATTTTCTTCATAATCTATCCATTAAGGGAATTGGAGCACTAACGTTCTTGTTATTAATTTTTCCTTTTTTTTACAGTGGACAAATTATCTAAATCCAGATAATATCAAAGGCTTATCAGCTTTCACGATGTTGCTTTCTATGCTCGGAAATGGTCTCATGATCCCGCGTGCCTTGTTCATTCGCGACCTTATGTGGTATACTTTTGCCTCGTTGTTCTCATGCTATAGATTGAAAGAGTACCCTTATTGTATTATTCTAAATTTTTATTTTTTTGACTCTCCCATCCATTTGCCACTGAGGCCTGGCTCTTTGGTAAAGTGGGGGTTTGGGTTGTGGGAAGTCTCAAGTTTAAGAATAGTCTATGGTTCTTAAAATAATTTAATGAATTATAATGTAGCCATTTTCGCGGAGGGATATTTTCTAAGTAATGTGCATTAAGTTGGTTTTTGTATAGTTATACACTTTACATAAGTAAGAAACTGGAGTGGATCGTATCCAATATTTTGCAGCAAAGAAGAAGAAATAAGCCTCTCATTATACTCTGGCTACCTTCATCATAAATTAATTCAAGCAATTTGTCTGACACATCAGTCATGTTTATTTCACATCTATTTTCTGCTTGAAATTGTTGAATGAGAATATATTGAGTCTTTTACTGTGTAAATTAAAATTTTGTCTTGGCACTTCATAGGAGCTTCACAAAATTTGTTGCTGAACAATGACTGCCAGCGCCATTCATGCTTATATTTAGTATATTAATGTTGCTAATGAAAGTATCACACTCATTTCAAATGACATAAAATCGAGTTATATGATGCCTTATTCAATTTCTAAGTATAGTGGTGTATTTAAGTTGTCAGCGATATGAGCTATCTGAGGATAATGTCCATTTTGCTTCAAGAAGTTCAATCATTTTGAATTGCAGGTTCACTGGTTCTGCCTGGGCATCTTTTCTACATGGGTGGGGTAACCTGCTCTGCATGTATTGGTGAGCTCCTTCCCTCTTTGAGGCCTCAGCTGCTGAAGTCTTTCAGATAACTTCTTTCTAAGTGATACTAATTTTAGCATTTTCTTCCAGTTTCAGAAGTATCAGCAAAGGATTTTTCTTGGCAGCAACACTTGGATTTTCTATGTGGATAGGTTTTTTTTCTTCGCACTTACCTTCATATCTTTAAATGCTATTTATGACAAAAATTTTAATTAATCTTTGAACTATGCATCCTTAATATCATATATCCTGTTCTTTGTGAAAAACATTCTTTAGAACCTTTATTCATGCTGAAGTTATGTTCTGAGATCAAGGCACATGTATTTAAGATTAAGCTATATAAAAGGTCCATACCTGATTATGTTGTTGCTTCCTCGATATTATGGCATATTTGGCAATACTCAAGAATAATTTGTTGATGAGCACCGCGGGTGACCCAGATGGTTAGGAGGTTCCAATATTGGCCCCAACGATCTTGGGTTCAATTCCCGGTTGCTTCATTATCCAAAAAAAAAAAAAGGTTGCTAGCATTTAGTTCTTGAGGCAACTTGCAATAAGAGCATCTGCTCTTGATCCTTGAATCAAATTTACAAGTCACCATGCATAACGTGGTTCTGGGCAGGTTATGTCTCAAATTATGACAAATCTAGCATTATAAGAGGCCTGAAAGAGTTAGAATGGTTGTCATTTAATAGGTTTTCCTAAACTTGGAACTGTTGCGTGGGTGTAATCCTCTTCATGTTTTTTATTGCTGACATAATGGTGTAATTCTCTTGGATCTCTTTTATTCAGGACTGACTCTCTGGAGAGATACTATAGCATGTGGAAACAGATCTCCTATGAAATCCTTGAGGGAATTAGTTTTTGGGCCATGATGCGATTTGCTATTGAGGTGATACTTCGGTATAGGTATTCTGGACTGTTGATCACTGGATACTATGTTTCTCCTGGAGATTATAAAAAATAAAAACAATTATTGCCCATGATGGAGGTGATTCCAGGAGCTTGTTCTAACAATTGTACTTATGTCTGCTTCCAGGTAAGCTTCACTCAGCCATAATACCAAGGGCTATACGCAGAGGTTTTGTTGCTCTTGTACTTGTATAACAGATGTATGTCCATAGAGCTATATTGTTTCGTTGATCGATGTAATAATAACTGAAAAAAGTATGTAGAATAAAATTTCTTTCTAGTACCAATTGATATACCCATCATGACTATTTGTCTCTAGTACATTTTTCTTCTAACTAGAACTATTTTCTATTTGTTGTTGGATATGGGGAATTTTGGGTAGTTGCTTGTTTGGTTATCTCAGTTACTTTCTGAATCTTAATAATAGCTTCAGTATAAATTACTTGCTTGGTTAGTAAACAATAAACATAGACATGGGAAGCACAGAAATAACAAACTAGATGATCTAAAGGTAATAAAATTGCTTGTAATATTGATGTTCCTTGTGCATGGAAATTAGAATTGGAACTGAATGATGTCAATTGAGCTCAAAGTCATTTAGAATTACTGGTTAATCCATACAAGTTTATTTTACCTGAAACTGGACCGTTATTCTTTCGATCTTTGCGTTCTTTTCACAATTTGGGATAAACTTTGAACTTCCTTTTCAAAGCAAGGCAGGCAGGGAGATATGTAAGTGAAGTTCTGAAGTGTAAATTTTCATCTCAGAATATCAACCTTCTTTCTGAAATAGTGTGCGAACCTTGGTGCAATTTTAATATTGCTTCATATGAACAAGAGGAAATGAATTTCAAGGGAGGTGATATATGGAATTAGAAGTTTCCTTTGGGTTGCTGTAAGTTTGTTGTTCTTTGTTCGTTCTAAAATCTTTGTTTGGTGAAGCTACAGTGTTCGTGAATCTATGCAATGCTTCTGATAAAAATGTTGTCTCATCAAAAGATGCACGGAACTTTGGGGATGTATAATCTGCTTCCTTTCAAGGAAATATCTGGTAAGATTTCTTATAGTGTTTTTTCTATAACTCTTTGATTCTCTGAGTTATATTTTTTTGCGGAGGATGATGCTTCTTATTATTATTGTTATTAATACCGAAAATTCTTTCTTTTGTCTAGCAATTTTTGTTTACAATTCTACAAATGACCAATACAATAGTCTGATTATCAAATATAGAACAATCCTATATATTAGATATTATTCCTCGAAATTTTCCAGGATTATCTTTTTTGCATACAAATTACAGTTTCTAACCTTCCTGTCTTGTACTATTTTACGTCTTCACTCAGTAACAACTCATCAACCGCAGAAACATCCATCCTCGCCAATGCCTGCTTCACCCACTCAACAATCCTTGCAGCCTCCCTGCTCACCTTCTCCGCCTCCATCGCCTCTTCAGCTCCAGCTGCTACTCCTTCAACGAAAAAGTACTGAAATCTGTAAGAATCTCCTCACTCTTTTCCCACTCTCTGTTATCAGGCCGTAAACCCTTGAGCTTTTCCCTTGCTGGCCTTTTCGACAAACATCCGAAACAGAAAATCTTGCTATCATGGTGGTGATGGTGATTTCTTTAGGCAGCGTTTATTTCACCATGGTAGTGGGATTAGGACAAAAGATGGGATTGTGATTAAGTAGGATTGGACTAATGGTTCCATCCCATGTTTCACCATTTGAACATCCTGGGACTAGATCAACTTAGATCCCAATCCCATGTTTACTTCATCATATTCTCATGGTACATAAAATTGTATCCCCTAGTTTACTAAAGGAATTACATATGGCAATGTCCACAGTTAGTGCAAGAGGAAATATTTTACATCTCATTCCAAAAATTTACAAAAAAAGTTGCAAATTCAACCTTAATACAAATTCAAATTCAGGGCTTATCACATTAACAAAAAACACAAAACTTACTTCTTGCTAAACAAATTGCTCAGCTTGCCCCTATCCAATCTCTCCGATACATACTTAAAGGCGAATCCAGGATTTTACCTCTGCTTGTGAGCAAATCAACTGTGCAAGTCGAGTATTCAACTCAAATTAATGCGTATAATGAAAAATATGTACAGTAATTTTTTACTACTTGGTTGAACATGTATAATCCCAATATAGAAGTGCATAGGTTTAAAAATATTCTTTATTGCTTCTAAACCCAAAGTTTTTTCCTATTTACCAAAAAATCCACCTAATCTGTATGTTCTAATAAACCCAAAACACAATGTTTGTTTACCTTTAATCCAAAATATTGAGTGCAAGGTATAAAGCTATATACAATAGTGTATGTAGCTAATATAATAGGGATGCCAAAAAAAATCCATATCAGAGGATTTATCCGTATTTATATCCATTAGGACGTTATGGTTACTAATACGTATATATTAGATAGGATATGAAGTTGAATCATACCAGTGAAGTTCGACTTAAATTGGTAGTCAAGTGTATAGTTTGGAAGCATGGAGCTTAATGTTTGATATGCGAGAGCTCAGTTGGAAGATCTATGGATGATTTAAAAAAAATTGGAATTATGTTTTCTTGATCTCTATGATGTGCAGGTGGGACATAAGGTTTAGCATTTTTTTTGGGGGAACTAAGTGAATATGGAAAATGATAATTAGGGAAGGCTTAAGCTGATGTCTGTGGGCTAAAAAAGTAACGATTCTTACCAATCATGCACACTTAGGGCTTGTTTGGTGCATAGGTGAAGGGGGGTAAAGTTTACCTTATTAAACATTATCTTATCTTTATGCATGTGTGTTATCTTTCTAAAACTTCATTAAGGATAAAGTTTAATCCTATGTGAGGGTAAACTTTTAACCAAGTTAAGGAGAAAAGGGGGGTGAAAAGCTGGTTCATATAAGCGCGTGGAATTACAATCATCCCCCCCAAAAAAGTTCTAAACCATATAAGTTTTTTTGAAACTTGAAAATTGACAAGATCTCTTGTAAAGTAAAAAAATATAAATAATGAACAATTATAAAATTACAAAAGCACCTCCAATAATGTAAAACTCAGTAAATACCACAAAAACTTCTGAAAATTCAAATTTGGAAAACACTAAAATCTCAAAACATACAAACAACCCCTACAAAAAACGTAAAATTTGCAAAAAACACCCTAACAATTTTTAAAATTGTCAAAATCACCCTAATTTTTTGAAAATTACAAAAAAACCTTGAATTTTTTTTGTAAAATCTCAAAACATACAAACAACCCCTACAAAAAACATAAAATTTGCAAAAAACACCCTAACAAATTTTAAAATTGTCAAAATCACCCTAATTTTTTGAAAATTACAAAAAAACCTTGACTTTTTTTTGTAATTGTTTTTATTCTAACAATTAAGCACTTAAGAAAATAAGATATTCAATAAGGTTAAGATTAAAAAGATGAAAAGTTGCTAATTATTTAGGGTATTATAGTAATTATTTTTATTCTAGTTATCATTGAGGGTTAGGAAACCGTCAAACGACTCATGATATTGTCTCAATACCGGTGGTAGCTTTCGTCCAACCCTCAACAATCATTTTTACTTTACTCTCTTGTTGTCTCCTCAAGTTGTCTTTTTCCTCCAATTTCACAAAGAAATGGCTTTAATGTCGGAGACACAATTTATCGCCACAGGTTTCACCGCTCGTTTCAACAACTTTGATGAAGATGAGGATGCTAGATTCCAGTACGGGAGGTCAATGTTTGGTATATTCTCAAACTTAGGTTTTTGCGCCCCCGCCTTCCAATTGAGCTCAAGCCCCCTACTTTTCTCGCATCCTTCCTCTTTTTGCTGTGCTTTCATCATTGAAATATCTCTTGTATGGTCGCTAGTCACTGACGCCAACCATGTCATCAATCCCAATGTTACATTAAACGCTATGCGCTTCTAGGTGTCGGACTTGGCGCCCAGCGCTTAGTCGCCTAGGCGAGCGCCTAAGCAGTTTTTGGGTGTTTTTTTCTTTCTTTATTTAAGTGGTGGTCGATGAGGTTTTGCTGAAGGTCGGAGGAGGTAGTGGAGGTATTCATATTTGGAGGTTAATGGAGTTTGGAGGACGTGTAGGCTACGACACATAAAATCACAATCAATGCCTATAGGGTGCAATCCACGTAAGCAGACAATGCTCCTCTAAACGTTCGTAAAATCTAGGTAGGCAACCTAAATACCATCTAGGCGCTAGGCGCTAGTTAGATAGCCTAGGTACCGCCTAAGTGTAGACGTACGCCTAAGCGGATTAGGCGGAGGTTTTTTAAAACAGTGATCAATCCCCTCTTTCATGATGAAGATTTTCACTATCTGATCCTGAATCCTCCATATGACCACCCCCTCAACACGCAATCTTGTATATTAACCACATTCATGGTTTTTTTAGATAACCTGTGTTGTAAGAGCATGTTGATTGAGAGCGCAAGTGAGGTATCATTAAGGACCAACCTACTTCTATGTTTTCAGCTCCATCACTAGGCAATGGGTAGAGTGAGATGCTCGCCTAGTATGGGTGCCAAACAGTTCGGTTTTATCCGAACCGATCCGCATCCGAACGGATGCGTATATGATAAGCTATTTTTAAAACCGGGTGGATACGGTTTCAGATACGGATTTTGTTATTTTTTTCCAGATACAGATCCGGATACAGATGAGTGTAAGATTCAGTTACGAATACGGATATCCACAATTCAATAAACATAAGAATTTAGGTCTATTTGGGAATCCAAAGTTCCAAACCTATAACCGCTAACCAACCCAAAACCCAACTAAAAACCTAGCCTCCACTCCAGTCTCTGTCTAGTCTCTGCTCAAGTTCTCAACCCGGCACGCCTCCACTCCAATCACGTCGCCTCCCTCCGCTGCCATTCTCTTTGCGTCTCCGCCTCATCTTCCTCCCCTCAAACTCTGATAGCCGCTCCGTCGAGTCACTTGACCTCCCCCCTTCCCCCCCGCCTCCTCTTCGTCGCCCTCCGTTACCTCTGCGATGCCGATTCCTCCTTCAGATCCGCCGTCGTCAAATCCACCGTCTGTTCCATAAGATCGAATCAAAACTCTAGTTTTACATATACTTGCTTTGTCAATATGTGACTATAAGATTTTTGATTAAGTCTTTTTTAATTTCATTGAATAGAAATCATGTCTAATCCTTCGATTCAAGTGTCTAATGAAGAACAAACTTTTGAGCCTAATGTTGAAACTACTGTTGAACTCGTGGTTGAGGAATCTTCAAGTAAAATTGATGAAAAACCTGAAAAGAAAAGAAGATGTTGTTCTGAAGTGTGGTTAGATTTTGATAAAATAGATAAAATGGAAAAGAAAATAGTTGATGGGAAAGAGGTTATCATCGAAATCATTAGAGCCAAATACAAACATTGTCCATTTGAAGCCGATGGACGTAGTATTAGGGGTACTTCACATCTTAAAAATCACATTGTGAGATATACTAAAAAGAAAAGACCCGATATTCATCAACAATGAGTTCAAGCTACTATGAAAATTGAAAAATGAAGATGGAACTTGCACACTTAGTAATTATCAATTTGATAATGAGAAGAGTCAAAATTTGCTTGCAAAGGCAATAATCGTGCACGAATATCCATTTAATATTGTAACACATGATTTTTTCCTCAAGTATGTGCATTCTTTCCGTCCAAATCACAAGGTTCCAAAACGTACACATCACAAAGTTGTGTATAAAGATTTATGAAGATTATAAAAAATCTCTATTGGATTTGTTTGCGAAATTTTTTATAAGATTAAGTTTAACAATGGATAAATGGACATCATCGTCACAAAATTTGTCTTATTTGTGCGTCACCGCTCACTTTGTTGATGAATCGTAGAAACTACAAAAACGTATCGTTGGATTTATTAAAGTTCATAGTTTTATGGGGAAAGATATTTGCAATGTATTAATTTCGTGTTTGCTTGAGTGAAAAATCGATAATAGGATATTGTCGATTACAGTGGATAATGATAAAGCTAATGATGTTGTCGTGAAATTGAGAATAGAACGCTTAAAAAGTAGCTACCTTGTGACGAAGTCTTTTTTCATGTAAGATGTGGAGCACATATAATTAATTTTATTATTCAAGAGGGTTTAAAAGTTATCACTAAAGCTATTAAAAAAGTAAGGCTTAGTGTTAAGTATGTTATTTGTTCACTAAAAATGAAGGAGAATTTTCATCATGCTGCTAAACAAGCTAATGTGAAAAAGAAAAAATGTCTTGTTCTTGATTGTTGCATTCGATGGAATTCTACTTATCTAATGTTGACATTTATTTTAAAGTATAAAGTTGTTTTTAATAGATTTGAGCTTAGAGATGATAAATATCTTCATTGTCCATCGAAGGAAGAATGGAATTATATTGAAACATTGAGCAAATGTTTAAAGCATTTATGGTGCAACAAATCTCCTCTCCGGCACTATTTATCCTACTTGCAATCTTTTGTTTAAAGAATTTT